CCTTTAAAGGTGTAAACCTTTACAAAAGTAATCGCTCCAGAGATTTCTGGAAGTGGCTAAAAGGATGTTCTAACACGTCAGTTAGACTAGACAATGTATGTCTTCAAGACGAAGAAGGCATAGCTCATAATGAGCAAGAAAAGAAGCTAGAAATAGCTAACAAATTTTATGCTAAATTAGCAACACCAAGTGTAGTCAATGATAATGTCTACAATAAAATTCCAGTAATGGAACCTCCTGATGACGTTACTATGGAGGAATTACAAGATGCCACAAGAAGATGTGGTAATAACAAAGCAGCCGGTCCGGATGAAATTCCGACTGAGCTATACAAGATACTGCTAAAGCCTAGCTTAGTAGACAAAGAGCTGCCCTCATTTCTAGTAGATGAGGTCAATAAAATAATAGCAGGTGCCAGTCCACCTGCATATTGGAGTGCTGCTGACATGGTATGCCTCCACAAAAAAGGAGATATATCAAATCTCAACAACTATAGAGGTATTGCACTGATTAACACAATCAGTAAGATATACCTCAAAATAATCAATGACAGACTAACACAGTTTGTCGAAAATAAGAATATACTCTCTCCCTATCAGGCTGGGTTTAGATCAGGAGAGGAGTGTATGAACCAAGTGGCAACCTTACTAGAGGTTGTCAAAAGAAGAGAGTTTCGAGGTCTTAAGACATTTATGTGTTTTATTGACTTTGAAAAAGCTTATGATAATGTTAGCCATGAGCTATTATTTAACAAGCTACAAAAGTATAGTATCCCAGGATATCTTATCAATACATTGAAAGATATCTATAGGAATACTAATATGAGAATCCGTATTAACGGAGATACAAGCAGTGGCTATAGCTACAGAAAAGGAGTGAGACAAGGCTGTCCTTGCTCTCCAATGTTATTCAATCTGTTTATAAATGACATTTTTGATGACGCCAACAAGGTGATCGTTCCAAGATCAACAATAATGATCCCAGGCTTAATGTTTGCAGATGACATTGTAGTCTTTGGGGAAACAAAAGAAGATTTGGATTGTAAAGTCAAACAAATCAGTAAATGGGCAGTTGATAATCAAATGAGAATCAACTGCAACAAATGCGGTATTCTAGTATGGGATACCAATACAAGCTATGAGTCAGAAAATATCTCCATAGATACTGACTTTGGAAGGATCTGTGAAGTCACAGAATACAGGTATTTAGGTGTTTTGATAAAAAGAAACACCATAGAAGATCATCTTGTGAAAGATGGTGCCTTTAGAGGCAAAACGGCGCTAGAAGCCTTGAAACCAAAGCTTCTTAACAAAGGTATTTGTATTCCTTTTAAGGCAATACTAATTAAATGTGTACTAGTTCCTGCTCTCATGTATGGAAGTGAGCTGTGGGGAATGTCTAGTACAAGATCAGGTAGAATCAATAAGATTCTCAAAAAAGCTATCAGGATGATATTCTGGTCTAAAAGAATTCCTTTAGATAGGATATTAGATGAATTTGATATTAATCGAATTCACATACAAGCAGCCTTAAGTAGGTTTAGGGCACTAAGGAAGTGGAAACACAATAAAACAATGATCGCAGATCTTGTTGAGCAGGTTCCACGAGAAAGGAAAACCACGTGGAGTTCAAGGACTAGACGATGGTGTAAAAGGTATGTCGGTCACGACTACGAAAGTGTTGACTACAATGTAGGCAAAAACAAAATTAAAGAAGTGCTCAAAGGTAGAAGATCTTTTAATACTACTTTAGCAGCTTCGATAGCAGTCCAGTATGGTATATATGAGTCACAACTCAAATTCATACTAACAAAAGTTAACAACAGACAGATAAGGAACTACACTAAAATAAGGTGTAATCTAATAAGATGGTCTCCTGCTTTAGCTAATGCACGCAGGATCCCTCAATACTACAGAGAACATTGTCTTCTCTGCGAGGGAGAGCAAGAAAACCTTGAACACTTCTTGCTAGACTGTCCAGTCTTATCTGAGAAAAGATCTCTTTATGAGAATAAAATTCCAGAGTTGACATCAACTCTACCAAAAGAGGATAAAGTCAAGATGATTCTTGGAAACATCCAGAACATTAAGACTTGTCCAATTATGAGAAAAGCTCTCTTAATAAGAGTAGAATTTCTCGATAAAATGACAGTGCTAAGATACATCATAGTACAACATAAGATAAGGCTTCATGCCTCCTCAGATTAACCTGAGACAAAAAAGCTACATCAGTAGCATTACAAGTAGCTAATTTATTAGCAATAAAAGACAAGCACATTTGACCTGGGAAGGGTTTGGCTTAAAGCTGCATATCATGCCGTAGCATTCCGCTGGACTGAGTTGTGTCCTTAAATGGTGTATTGAGCCAGGCATTAAACCTCAAATCCTGCTGAGCGCAGGTCTTAGTCTCTATGACTAATGGATTTTAACTAATCCTACGGGGTTCCCTATCTTCCTACAAGCAAGGCCCTAGTGGTATGCT